CTAAATTTTTCATTAGTAATTGTATTTAGAAGATCTAAGGTTTCACTGAGTTTTGATCACTCTTGTGGAGGGAGCAAGCAAAAGTACTAAGGAAGCAGAAGTTTCTTCCCCTATATGGTTTTAAAGACACTGTAGTATTCTTCTAAAGGTGGAAAACATCACACAGTAGGTTAATTTTTTAAAACATTCAATGCCAAGCTGTTAAAATATCTAGAAATAACTTCTTTTCATTCTAGTCGAGTGTGGAGTTATTTCTGTGCCACCTGGGTTGAAGGTTCAAAATCATTGAGGCAGAGTTTAAGGCTTCATCCACCTAATACAATTAAATGCATGCTATTCCCTACTGACTCTAGAATATGTAAACCTGGTGTTTATGTGCAAGAATATAAAAGTACAAATACTAGGCTTTGAGACCTGCTTGGTTGAAGTTCAAAATCACCCCATAAATGACATTATGTATTATTAAATAATCAAAGGTTAATCTGTATACATGTGTACACAGCTTGTATTTTTAAATCACAGAACATTCTATAAAAATTTTGCAAAACTAAATAGCACCTGCTCTTACTGCCATTACTGCCATTTTTTAAACTATCAGTGTATCATGGTTAAAATAAACTTTGGCTGATTGGTGATTTTTTTTTCTTATATAAAATTTTAAAAATCAATTTTTCCATTTTGAGATTGAAGAAGGAAATAAGAGTGTGGTTTTATAGCTAAGAGGAGCAACAGTATGACTGAAATAATCTTCTGGTGATCATGAAACACACAAATAAGTCTCAGGAAGACATAAGAAAAGGCTTGGAGTATGTAACCCAAGATTTGTGAAGTGACATTGATTTCCATTCAGATCAGGTCTTTTACTCTTCTTAAAAATGTCAAGGTGTCGGGGCGCCTGGGTGGCCAGTCGTTAAGCGCCTGCCTTCGGCTCAGGTCACGATCCCAGGGTCCTGGGATGGAGCCCCGCATCGGGCTCCCTGCTCAGCGGGAGGCCTGCCTCTCCCCCCTCCACTCCCCCTGCCTGTGCTCCTCTCTCACTGTGTCTCTCTCTGTCAAATAAATAAATAAAATCTTTAAAAAAAAAAAAGATAAAAAAAAATGTCAAGGTGTCAGCCTTGGCCATTACGAGACGGTGATTTATAGTTGAGAGAAGCCATAGTACCAGCTGACTGTCTGTAGCCACAGTACAGGGTCTGGAAAGGCTGCCGAAGACAGCCATGGCTTTTCTTTTCTTTTTTTTTTTTTATTTTAAAGATTTTATTTATTTATTTGAGAGAGAAAGAAATGAGAGAGAGAGCATGAGAGGGGAGGGTCAGAGGGAGAAGCAGACCCCCCGCCGAGCAGGGAGCCCGATGCGGGACTCGATCCCGGGACTCCAGGATCATGACCTGAGCCGAAGGCAGTCGCTTAACCGACTGAGCCACCCAGGCGCCCAGCCACGGCTTTTCTTAGCCAATCAGCAAGCCTTAACGGAAACCCTGGTCTTTCCCCCTCCATCTTGATAAGAAAATGATAAACTATAATCTGGAACATTTACTTGGTGGGAAATAAACCGCCGTGGGAGGAAGTAGGTATCATACTTCCACAGAATAAATAACAAACATTATTTATGGCAATCTATATTTCAGACATTTAGAAACACATATCCATAATAGGAGCATAAACAGATGTTCCAAATATGACAACTTATTTTAATATACTGGAAACCACAGCATAATTTTGTAATTTGATTAATTAGGAAGAAGAATTGTGAGTGTTAAAATCGATTTTCAAACTCTCTAAATTATATTTATAGCATTGCTCATCTGCATCACAAAAAAACCCCCAAATGTTTTGCATTAGAATCATTATTCATAGCAAATTAATCTTTTTCTCATTGAGAAATCTCCCTAAATAGTAGTTCTTGATAGTAAAAATGTTTAAAACTGCCCAGGTAATACCATGATAAACAACTGGGCTGAGAAGAACAAGCATTTAACACCCTAATATATAATGGCTACAATTGTATACCAATATAATTATATATACATATATAATACATATATATACTCATATAGTAGACACAATTATATAAATATATAAATATACATTTTTTGTTGGAGGATTACATATTATATATACATATATATATATATATATATATAAAAATATAGCCAAATAAGCTGTCCTATCTGTATATAATTACCGCCATTATATAATTTTATATGATTAGGATATATGTCAGCAATATATATATATATATATATATATATATATATATATATATATGGCCAAATAAGTTGTCCTATCTGTATATAATTACCGCCATTATATAATTTTATATGATTAGGATGTATGTCAGCAACATAAAATTCCCTAATATCAGAGGTGAAATTGGAAGGGATATAAAATTTTCTGTAACAGAACAGCCTAAACATATGGTGGCCAAGGATAAACACTGGACTGCAGAATATAATCAGTAAGCCCCCTTTACCAAACTCCCATTTCTAATGATCCTACATAATTTTTAAAATGTCAAATTCCCAAATGAGTCCAAATGCTTACTTTCCTGATGTATGTCATGCATTAAATGATCATGGGAAATGTTAATAAAATGTAATTAATCTCCAGGATACTCAAGGTTGCAATTGGCTGGTGCAGATGTTTTATGGTTACAATGCTGTACAAAGCACATTTGAACTAAATAAGTTAATACTGCCTGTATGTTCATAGGCTCCACTAAGTTTACCAAGACAAACATATTTGACAGAAGCCTATATCATATCACTATGCTAAGCAGTTTAGAAATTTGTAGTGGTTGTTGGGAGCCCTGCTGTTATTTTGCCTGTTGGAACTTCCTCCATCTTCTGCCATAGACATTAACCTTGCTACGTTAGTCTTGCTCTGCCTCCCTACACAGGCTGTTCAATCTGAGTAACTGTCATCTGGACAGAGAAACGGCTCCAAAACAGACCCAGCCTGGGCCTTTCTGAGAAATGAAACTGATGGAGGGGTAGAGAGAACCATTTTATTTTTTCCTTCTGGAATCACTGGCTCTGGGAATGATGCATGATGCAGTGGCCATCTTTGCCATCACAGACAGAGAATGTGAGAATGAAGTCAACCACTTGGGAATTAAGTTAACACATTGGAGAAAGAAAGGGAGAGAAAGAGAGAGAGATGGAGAGGACCTGAATAGAAGAGGAGAAGGGGAGTACCAAGAGGAGGCGGGGTGAGGGGGTGTGGTGGGGAGGGGTCCGGAGGGCAGGGAGATGATGATGATATACATACAGCTTCCTAGTTTGAGCCCAGTTTTTAACTTTTGCTACTGAAAGAGCCTGATTAGTGCAGTGATTTAAGCTAAGGCTATTCTTTCCTACCCCTTTGACTCAAAAAGTCCCCTGTGGAATGGAAAAATACCCAGCTGCCTAATCACATACTAATGTTTTTTGTTTGTTTGTTTGTTTTTTTACCCAAAAGTCACTTTAAAAGCATTTCCCTCCACATCTTTATTTGATAAATCAGTTGTAAATAAGGAAAGTGAAATGGAGAGAGGTTCAGTTCCATAACTAGTGGTAGGTCTGGTGCTAGAATTCTGGTCTTCTAGCTTCTGCTTCACTATTCAAATTCAGTGGCAGCATTTATGATGTAGACATCAAAAACTCCAGGTTTATTTTGCATATTTTGTTAACTCCCAAAGAACAGCCCAATTAGAATGCTTTGGTCCTTTGACTAAGTAATGTAATTGCTACTTCATGAAACTGCATGATCAATATTACTATATTAACTTACTTTTTTTTTTTAAAGAAATTAAATGATGGTTTTTTTTAGAGGGATTGAAATCATATGTAAATACTGCATTTTAGTAAAATTATTCTGGAAATACCATTTTTATAAGCCATAATTATTAACATTTTCATGGTCTATGGTTTTTGATCACCAGACCTTTGCATAGTATAGGGAATCATAAGACCAGAATCTAGACACTGTAAAATCCTAATAACAGCCCATATCTTGCCCAAAGCAACTCAAAGTATATATGTAGGTTATTTTATCTGCAACTAGAAAATAGGACAAACTACATAGAAGACTCATCTATAAAATATAAAAAAGAATAAACTGCCAAATTACAAGATTTATGAAATGCTAAGGCACACAAAAAGGACAGAAAGTGTTAGATAAGTGAGAGATAGCTTTTGTAGACCATAAGCTATTTGAGAGCAGAATTTCTTTTTTTCTTTCCTATAGTTGGCACTCAGGAAACATTTGATAAGGACATTTATAGCACATAATTTTTGAGTGTCCCTGGATCTGAAATAATTTCCCAATGGTGTCTGCCTCTCACCCTTGGGAACAGTGTATACCCAACAAATTTTGGTGATGAAAACAATAGTCTGTTTAGCAAAAGCAAATACTGAGACCCAAACAGGAAGAAATAAACTAATATTCATTGAGTGTTTTCTTGGTGCTAGAGACAAGGCTAAGAAATTTTCTTGGATTATTTCATTGATCAGTCATTAAGTTTACTTAAGTCCTTGATATTAAAATGTCACTAAAACAAATAAATGGAAATCAGTTCAACTGTTTGGTAAATTATGACTCAGGCTATATCTAAATGCACTGAGGGCAACAACTACTTTTTATCATTAGTATCTAAAATCTATAACTAATATTCACACATCTGACATTTCATTTTAAAGCCAATCAAATTTTATTAAATAATTAAGTCTTAATTGGTTATAGTCATCCCATGTGTTGATGCAGCCTTAATGCACTGAGTTTTTTTATTTAAGCTAGATATACATTTACAAATAAATGGATACATCAATGAATCAACGGCTTATTTTGAGTTGACAAATTATATTTATGAACGGGCAAATTCCACAAGGGTTTCATTCTCAAGCAGGATCTCTTCACAACAGCAACAAAGATGCGTCACTAGTGAGTCCAAATTTCTATCCTCTTTACAACTTGTAATCCATGAGACAAAGAATGACAATCCTTTTTCCAGTATCTATGTTAATTCTAAAGGAAGATGTTAGGAAAGAGGCTGCTAGAAATTTCATCCCTGAGTAGGCCATACTGACTTTTAAATGGATTTTATAAGTAGTTATTTAGCTCAACATTAGGACTAATAAAGTATATATTCTTATAGATGTGGGTACTCCTTATAGATGCACATGTCTTATAGATAAATAAAGGGTAAAGAGCATTCTCTAGAGTCAATAAGAGGTATGGTAGGGATCATTTTTTTTATCTTTCAAATTTAGCATCATATTATTTATCAGCAATTTGCTCTTTCAGAATTACTTTATTACATTTATTTACAATATTGTAAATCATAGAAGTGGATGGGGGGAAGTGAACTAGAAAGAACATACAAGTTGCGTTATCTTTCTCCCAAAGTAGCCAGCACACTTCCTGTTGTGATATGTCTAATCGTTGAAAAACACATTATCTCTTTGTTTCATGTATATACTTAAGTGATTTTAGTCAGAGCACTGGGTGGCCCTCACTAGAGCACACCCTATGGAAAGAAAACACATTTTCTTTAAACATAAGATACAATTCCTTTGAGATCCTGTTAATCATTTTTCCTTTCTAATTGAAAAAGTCACCACAGAAATTAGAGTACGAATTTCATCATTCTAGAAAGAACCTTAAAAGTTGACATGTCTTTGAACAATTGTCTCAGAAATCCTTTTTTAAGTACATTTTCATTTTCTGGCATGGCTTGAATTAAATTCTAAACTTTCTGCTGCTTGTCCTCTAAGCCCCTCTGGTGAATTTAAATAGGCCTCCCTATATATTTAGTACATTCAAGAATTCTTTGTCGCAGTGCCTACTCTGCTTTATTATTAGAAGGCTGTCTCGGAAGTCCAGCAGCCAGTTTGTTTTCTGCCATTAATAAAGAGTCTACTTTTTTCCCCTCACTTCTTTGAAGAAGTTGAAAAGACTCCATGTTGGGGGGGGGTGGGGGCAGGAAGAGAGACAGAAGTGAAGTGAACCAACTGTGGTGTAATCCCCCAACAAAAAATGTTGTCTAGTGTAGAAACCTCCCCAAGGTTTACAAATGCCCAGGCTGGGCTTCTAGTGTGATATGTAACAGAGTGATAACTTAGCCACAGCCTGGTTCCCCTCTCCCCACTAAGAATACAAAGTCTACTATGAGAAAGACGTTACATTTTTAAATCCTACAGAACCAAATACTTCCACTGGCTCATGTTTCAACACGACCCAAATCTCTTACTGAAGATTTTGGAAAATGGAAAGATAATCACAATGTAAATCTCTAATTTCTCACAATTCCCTTATATGTCTAGGAAAATAAATAGAAGGGTTTCAAGAAAGACCTACCAATTTGGAGGTACAAAAGATTGAGGTTGACTCATTGCCTAGGGAAAGCTCATTCAAAGGCAAGGAAAGATGACTCCATAGAATAGTCACTTGGTGCTCAGAAAGCATCAGACACCTACCAACAGAGAGGGAGAAACTTCTTAGAAAAAAGGAATGGTTAAATCCACCTAAATAAAAGAAGCCAAAATAGCTTACAAGGCTAAGATGAAACCTGGAAGTTATTATTCTTATCTGGTTGACCTAACAGACAGACAGACAGACAGTCCATGCTTATTAATACACTTGTTTAGGAATTAACTAGTAAGGTAACAAACTTAAAATCACATTACTTATGTGAACAGTGAAAGCTTTTGTTCACCATATGAGAATTTTTCACTTTTAAATTCCCCATAAAACATGCATGAAATTAGCTGATTATATAAAATAAAACTATTTAATCGTAAATTCCCTTAATATCATTACCTTTCAAGTTCCTCCTACTTTAAAATCTCCACAAGTAAAACATTACATACAAGTTAATATTATTGGTGCACTTCATCTGATAAAGCTACATTTGACATAGAGAGATTTGGGGAAAAAAGGAATGAAAGGTGAAGCTAGCTCATTGAAAAAATGCTGTGGATGATTTCATGAAGATGTCTCAATTTTTATACTGATTTTACTGATGCTTTTTAAAAATTGAAGATACATATACACATATATACATATATACGCATATATAATATATAGGTACATATGCCTCAGTGTGTATGTGGTCACTGATCATTCGGAAACTAAGTATGGAGATGACAGATAATAATAGCACCTAAGTTTCTGCATACTAAACATGCATTTGCAGAGCTACACTAAAAAGTCTTATTTTTTAAATGTTTACAAATGCCCGGGATTTTTAAAAACTTCTGTATATGAGAAACTTCGTTTTCCTTTTCCAAATACAGTCACTAAGAGACCAGTGGAATTTGAGTACCGAGTTAAATGTCTAGTAAGAAATTAAACAAAAGAATCCAAGTAATCAAAATGATGCCTGCATTTGCTGCCTGCCGAAATGTAGGCTGCACTGCATGTGTAAATGGCAAGAAAATTTGGGCGTTAGCTAACCCTTTATGCACTGTTTTCTCAAAACTCATCCAAACGGGACAGCTTGTAAAACCATTTACATCTTTATCAGGTGAATTCCACCAAGCCTAGGCGTGTCCATTTGAAGAGCAATGTAAGGTAGTATACACCTTTTCTAATTTTGTTAGTAATTAACTTGTACTGTAATTCCCCTGTGATACTTATACCTCTTCTAGATATTATTAATGTAGACTAATGCTTAAGAATATTTCTATATACCTCTTCTTTAGCTTCACTGGAACACTAAAGTGTTGCAGACTTTGATGCTAAGAAAAATATTGATCCTGTGCACCCTGAAATGAAATATAATCATATTTAGATTTGGCAAAATTCCAGAAGTGGCTTCCTTGATGGGCCCTAAAAGAGTAAAAAAAAAAAAAATGCCATTTTGGAAAATTGATGTTTTCCTTACAGAGATTAAAAGTTAAAGGAATGAGTATCACAATATTCACAGGGCACTACAAAAGAGACAGAAAAAAAACTAATACTTCATTGGTCTTTGATAGATTTTAGCTGATAAGCTTAAAGTGAGCAATGATTGTAAAAAAAAAAGGAACTGGAAGTTCATAGTAAATTAACAAGCAATGTGAAAAAGGAAAAAGAATCAAGTGGGGGTTAGTGTATTTATGTAAAACAGTGATTTGCTATTTCAAAATTAAAATGTGAAAATAAGCTGGTGTCAGAGAGGAGGTGATTCCTCATTTCCACCGCATTGAGCAAGCTCACATCGGCAGCAGACAGCTCTTAATATATGCGTCTGGCTCAGGCTGGTCTCCCAACCAGGAAGCCATCGAATTGTTAATATCACTGCTTTTTTTTGTATACAACACACATCATTTTCTCGCTCTTTGTCGTAGACCTCTCCTTTTATTTTAAGCTTAGTATTATCTGATTTTCCAAATCATATTTTATAGCCCCAAACAATATTATTCTGTGACAGCTTATATAGAAATGCAGAAAAAGTGGCATCCATCTATCCATAGACAGCATAAAGTAGTTTATATAAACAAAGTCATCCACTTAAATCTCTACTCACCTTTATGGAGTAAGAGAAAAGCTTTTATCAATGATATTCTCAGAAAAGATAGTTTATATGCAGGAAGGTTACATAGGGAAGGTTCAAAGAATGCACGATGATTAGTAAAAAATAAACATCACTGCATTCTGAATTCAGCTTTGGTAACTTTCTTCTACGAAAAAGAAGTTAACATATAGTGTAATTCATAGATACAATAACATAAAATATTGCATTTGAAATAGCTTATATCTGATACCACTATAGCCAATAAACAACCATCCCTTACATTATTTTAGAACTAAATTTATGAAACATCATTTACATAGTATTTATGATTGTATTAAATCAGGTGTCTGTAGACATATACCTGTGTGTGATATTGTTTTAATAACGAGGTAGTTTCTGATTTGTTGTATAAACATTGCTATTAAATATAATCAAGTTTCTGTGCACTTGTAGATATACACATATATAGAGTTCTTTGTATCGAGAAACTTGTGCTTTTAAAAGTGTTCAAATATAATGAAAATGTGGTTCAAAGAAGTAAAAGATAAACACTATCAAAAATCTTTACTGTTTATATTACCTCCTTTCAGTTGGAGTTTTAAGACATGTTTACACACACACATACACACACTTAAAATTTCAGAGATTCTAGATAAATAAAATAGGTGATATAAATAAAGAATCTGAATAGGTACAATGTGGATACATGCTTAAACATGTTTTACGGGGCTTGTATAGAGGAAGAACATGTTTACGATACTGTAATATCAATTTTTTAAGAAATATAACTCATGCGTGATTTGTATCCTATGATATTTCAAACATGAGTAATTGTAACAAATCCAATGAAAAGGTGAACAAAGACTCCATACAGTGTTCTAAAGTACATTCATAAATTTATTTTAACAATGCAGAAGGTACATGTAATTTATAGCACCCATGTAAAGCATCAGAGTTAAAAGAATGAAAGCATTTTGGTTCTTCTATTATGGAAAGTCTCTCACCTCCATTGTGTATCTTAGTATCTGCAACATTACTGTAAAATTTGTGAATAGATTTAATATATTGATTCTACTTACAAGAAATAAATATTTGATGTGGCAATGTCTAACAATGTTCAAATAGGACACATTACTTATAGTTGGAATAGTTTATAAAACTAAAATTCTTATAAAACTAAAACTATGCAGCTCAGATTCAGTTGATAGGTGAACTTGAGCAGTCTGACTTCATAGGTGGTGTTTATTGATTTATCTCACTTAGGTCCACGATATATACGAAGGAAAATGTAAAGACTAAAAGGTACCATATTTTTGCTAATTATTGATAACTCTTACGACAAGAGAATGTCTTATTGTAATAGGACATATAAAGTATTTTGTCTGGTTAAAAGACTAAGGAAAACTCTGGCAATAAATACCAAGTATAAAATAGCATTCTTCTTAAATCAGTAGTAAAATCTAATAGGGTCAGTAAAGAAGATTGTAAATGATTTATCTCTAGGCCTCGAGCATGATTATAGTTATACATTACATATTCTGAGCCACAGTTACATGGAGACATACAGGATTTATTTAAGAAGCTAATGTATATATTTCTATGCATATGAACGAAGTTAGAAATATAAGCCACTCTCTTCATTATTATAAGGAGGTATATTCTCTTAGACTAGCCACCGTAAAATACATCAAAAGAAGCATTTTAAAAACACCTGTATTTTAACTTTGCTTCTTACATAGTTATCTTATACTGCTTTTATATGGTTGTTATAATATAATACAAATCCTATTCAGTGCAACTCCGTAATCACTTTTGAGTACAGTTTCTGAAAATAGTATTTTTGGGGATGGGTCATGATGAAAACATTGCTGATTATAAAGAAGAGCATTGTTCTTTTCTCCTAGGCAGAATCTATGTATGTTCTTTTGTTCTGGTGGTAACTGCAGACAATCAATAAGGTCCAAAGCTGCTGGTTCCCCTCCGCCTAGGTCCCAAGAGCCTGACTTGTGATGTTACTAAAATACCTCACAAGTTAGGGTCTCAGGGACTAGGAAAAGTCTGGTTTGATGCGGTAGAATTCTTCTTCCAGTAATAAGGCTAGCTTAGAAATTACAGTTGGGTTCAGTTAAACTTTTTCCTTTAAATACTAATTAAAATACATACGTAGAAATATATATGATATATAAAAGTTAGGATTAGCTGAATATTCAGGACGACCATTTACAGACTAATTCCAGACCTTAAAATAATGAAGAATATGAGAAACAGTGCAGACAATGAACAGTTAAGAGTCATTCCATCAGATCCAAAGAAAGAGACTAAAAATGGGTTAAAATCTGTTTCTAGCAGATTTGTACAGCAACACCATAGCCTCTATTACGTTAAAGAAGGATTATATGCCAGTTAATGGGACCCTAATTGAAATTTTGCTTCCCATTACACTTCTATACAGTACAACTGTTAAGGTGGGCCAAGGACATATCACACTTTAAATCTGATTTCAATATATACTGTTGCAGTTAAGAATAAAACAAAAACTTTTTTGCATGTCATAATTTAATACCTCCGAAGCTTGATTTTTCTCTTTAAATCTCCAAACTATTCAGACAGCAAATATTTCCATGCATACTCTGTAGCTATTTGAGCAATGCCACTTAATAAACATGTAACTTAAAATGCTGGCAACATGAGAAGAAAAATAAAAGATTCTATTTCTTAAATAATTGCATTATAAAGCTCAATACTTTTGAAAATACACAATCCCAATCCTGTATATTCACTGAATTTCCTCCGATCTTTTAGCCTTGTTTGTGGTTCAAGAACAGAATTGGTACTTTAGGAATGATCCAAGGTTTAGTAGCATAGAACGCAGGGTATAACAATCGGACCAGCCATAACATAACAGTCCTGGCCACAGAAGTGGATTCTGGTTCTTCTGAAGTGGTTGATCTTAAAAGGGAAAAGAGGAGGAAAAAAAAAATGGAAAGAATTAGAATGTTTTCCTGCAGAACAGGTGAATCATCCATTTCCAAGTAAGCTGCAAGGAAAGCTATGCTGAACAAAATATTTGCTAACTGGCCCCCCTCCTCCACCCTAGTACCACACCCCTTTCCAACCACCACCCCCCACCCCCTGTCCAGATCTTTACTTTGCCTTGTAAGACTTTAAATATTCTGCTCCATGATGTAATGCATCATTATATAAGATCTCTTTCTGTTTATCATTTGATTTTCCATACTGAATCCGTTATGGCTTAAAATAGTAAATAGTTAAAAAATAAAATAAAAAAGCAGCACTCACAAAAAGCAAAAAATAAAACAGTCCTTAGATATAAGTCCATGCTTTTCCTTAAAACTGAATATGGCTTTACAATTTTTGACCATAGCATTCAACCAATTATTAGAATGAAAAATCTCACCCCTCCATAAATATGACATTAACATAATTATACCACCCCCATCACGGAGACCCATCCTCCTTAGGGAATACATCTGATGCTCCAAAGATGGAAATCAGTCAGATTTTAGTTGCTCTCCAACGTACCTTTGCTTCTCACTGACTGACTGGCTTTTACCCTCCACGCACTCACACGCCACCCCCTCCCCTCGGCTAGACACGGATGCCCGAGCGAGCACGCGCGCGCACAGGCATACAGACACCCAGCGAGAGGCGAGGCAAAGCATCTGATGCTGACTCAGAGCGCTTCTGTGTGCAGGGGGTGGCCGGGGCTGGTATTTTCACTGCGCTCATCATTAACATTAACTCACAGTCTAGCATCCACCCTCTCCCAGACCTGCGGGACTGCAGCATTTGCATGACGCTGTCACTCTAGCCTTTGCAGGTCAGATGATGGGGGGGGGGCGGGGGGGGGGAGCAACGCAAAGCAAAGCAAAGCAAAGGACTGGAAAGAAAAAGCCCCAAGACTCTTGTAAGAAATGCCTTCGTTTCTTCCAGAGTCTCCTGATTTTTCTACCTTTCTACTTCCTCTGTGGCTAGGTCTCAGTTGTTTGACATCTTTCCGGAAGAAAATGTCTTGTGCTTCAGTGAGCCAGTAGTCAGTTGGTCCTCCCCTCCCCTCACACTGATCCCCACCCCCTTCCACCCCCAATCAATAAGACAGATCTCCAAATGCAGTTGTGGAAACAGGCTTCGACACAGTCTCACTCTGGATCCACTACCTCAGAAAGCAGGCAGCCAGGCTCACGAGAGAGAGAGAGAGAGAGAGAGAGAGAGATAATGCCAGCAATTCTTTAACAGTCCCAGACTTCATTCTACGCCTTCTTTTTTTTTGCCCCCCTGGCTGAAGAAAGAGCAAAAGGAGTGTTTCCACTTCTATATGGAGACCCAAACAGCCCAAGGGACACATGAGTGAGACCGATCTGTATAGATCAATCATTTCTATTTAATAATGAGCGAAACTATAATTTTAATAAAAATAATTGCTTAATATTTTTATTAGCTGTGCTCTCAGTTCACAGGAATTATAAGATCTGCCAGGATCTGAATCATCAATATGATTTAAACTGTGTTGAAATCCTAATTTGCTGGAATGGAATCAACCAACAGGATATTAATACATTTTTTATTTTTATTTTTTTGATTTAAGAACTTATAAAAATAATAACAAATAGCTGTGTGTTGGTGAATATGTAAAAGTTTTTGAGATTAAGACATGCTTGCAGGTGATAACTATTAAAGATTGAATATATGCTTACATAAAATGTGGATTTGTGTACATATATGAAGACAATCTACTATATGCAGTTACAAAAGGAACAAAAATATTTGGCTGAACACAGTCATGTTTGTACTACAGTGTTTCACAACATAAAAGACAGTATATAGGTATTTATCCAGTTCCTTTGTCCTTCAATTGTTCTTTTTAATGACAGAATGTGGTAAACTGCCTACCCTTCCTTTCTACATGAGCAATATTTCTGAATTACTTGCCAGCCAGAACTAGCCATCAGTGACTCTGCAGCATACAAGAAATACATATGAAGGAGAGAAAAGTACGGCAATTCTCAAGCCAACTGTAATGCTGTCTGGTGCTTTAGAAATTTCAGTTTACTCACACAGACAGATCCCAGCATGCACTGCAGCACCGCAGGACCAACTAAGGTAGCAGTTTGGCAACAGATCTGTGGCAACAAACGTGAAGGACAACCATTTGCAGAGGTTCCAAAGAAAACATCACACAACCCATAAAGAGAAAGATGCATCTGCAGTAGGAGATGTATCTCTAAAATCAGCTCCTACAGGCTCCTGGTTTGAAAGAAAAAAGCAAAGAAGAAAAGGAAAAACTTAAGCACGAAAGCAAAAAACACAAATAAAAGAAGTGGGCACCCAAAGAAAACATGGAATGAAGTACACACTCTCCTGAGAGAGAGAAAGGCAGGAAAGAAAAGCGTAAGAGAGGGAGAAAGAAAAGGAAATGGAGAAATAGGAAGAGGGAGGGGAGGGATGAAGGAAGGGAAAAAAGGAACAGGAAGTAAAGCGCACAGACAGAATCCCCGGGCACTGAAGCAACAAATAACACATGAAATTAGACTTCAGAAACTCAAGGTTCGGGAATCGTGTTCAAGCTTAGAACTTAATGAAAAACTACAACAGAAATTAACACGTGTCCAGCATAGCTTAAGATACTTATTGTTGGGGCACCTGGGTGGCTCAGTTGGTTAAGCATCTGCCTTCGGCTCAGGTCATGATCCCAGAGTCCTGGGATCGAGCCCCACATCGGGCTCCTGGCTCAGCAAGGAGCCTGCTTCTCCCTCTCCCTCTGCCTCTCTCCCTGCTCATGCTCTCTCTCTGTCTCTGTATCTCTGTGTCTCAAATGAATAAATAAAATCTTTAAAAAAAAAAAAAAAGATACTTATTGTTGGTAACAGAGGTCCCTGCTGACTTCTTCCTTCCTGTTCTATGCGTATGAAACTGGTCATCTCTTAAAGTCTCTTTGCTCAAATCCATCTTTTTTTTTTTTATTTTTTTATAGCTCTCTAGCATCTGTCTCCTTTATGCTATTTTTTTTCTAGAGAGTGCCCACAATACTCTGGATAAATTAATGTCATGACCTCGCTATGGTTATCAGACATAAAATGTCGACTATTTTAATAATTGAACATGAGCTTACAGCAAACTGCCTATTGATATCTTAGCTCTGTGGACGATCTGCATGAGCACCTCACTCCTAGCTCTGCGAATCAGAAACAACAGATGCAAATACAACTTTCCCCCCGCCCCCGAATCCACGACATCTCTTTTTCCTACATTCAGAGACAGACACATACATCACTCAACTTTACAGAATGCATAAAAATATTAACGAAGGAGGTTAAAAAATCAAGGGGAATAAAGGTTTGAAGACAAGTAACGATTATAACTGAATGGCCGTGCATTTAAAATATTTATATCCAAACAGGAGTTAGCCAGTTTCAAATGTCTAAGCTTCTGTCAAGACCACCATTAGGGCCAATGGGAATGCAGACTTGATTAAATCAATATTTATTTGAAAGAAGATGTTGTAATCAATCAATTCAGTTGCCACTGTCATAGATATGCGTTTAAGATCTCTTCTGATTCTAATTTCTAATCATCAATACTAAGACATCCCTAAATGAGGCTTTGGCTATGGCTAAAGTTTTTATAAAGTAAAAATTTCACCATGCTTTATATTTCATTTAAGCAATGTAATGCAAGTATGGTCTTGCTAGATCAATTATTTTTATATGTTATTTTCTATGTTTTGTTTCTTTAAAAAATTACCAAGATAGATCTGAATGTATATCAAATGACATATTAAGTTAGAGGAAGCAATAACTCCTCTGCAATACTTTAATACAGCCTGTCCTCCACTTTACTGCTAAGGCAGGGAGGGATTTTTTATTTCTTATAAAGGCCATTTGAAATCAGTGTTATTATGGGAATCATTTTTAAAAACACTGGTGGGGTTTGGGGTAAGAGAGACAGAGGACAAGAAAAAGATCTACAGTTCAAATTTCGATTCAAAATTCATGGCCATGCAGAATATATTGTTTTTTTTACTAGTTGCATAATATTTTCTTTGTTTTACTTAACCTACACTCTCTAAGAAGGTGCGACCAGCCACCTGTAGGTATTATAAGTAAGTAAAGGTAAAAATTGAGTTCCTCTGTTGCCTTAGCCATATTTCAATGTATAATAGCACACATGGCTGGTGGTTACCATTTTGGACAATGCAGCAATAGAACATTTCCACCCTTGCAGAAAGTTTTATTGGACAGTGCTGACTTAAACAGTCCTTGTGAAAAGTTTATAGCATAACTGATCATTGGGTCCTGATGCTTTCATTCCAGTCTATTTTGGGAGAATGAATCTGTATTGATTTATTTGAACATCGGAAAGAAGAGAATTTCTTCTAACTGAAGAGCATCTAGTGCTTTGGTTTACTAATAGTTTTGACTTATGCAAGATTACGTAATGTGAGGGGTTATATAGAAAATAACTTTAAGGTAGTTGGTAACACAACCATCAGAAGACACACAAAAAATACCCCAGCTAAAGTCTCTGAATAAATCTGACAGATGCTTATTTGTCTAACATTTCCAGAAATGAGAGCCATGCTCTTTTTTGTGTCAAACAACATATATTACATCTTTCTGTTTTCAGTAAAGAAGGGATGTAATAGGGGTGCCTGGGTGGCTCAGTCAGTTAAGCATCTGACTTGGGCTTAGGTCATGATCTCAGGGTCCTGGTATCAAGCCCTGAGTTGGGCTTCCTGCTTCTCCCTTTCTTTCTCCCTTTGCCCTTCCCGCTGCTCATGCTCTCTGTCTTTCTTTCAAATAAATAAATATAATCTTTAAAAAAAAAGAAGGAATGTAATAGTAGTGAGTAGCAAAAATCCAGGGAAAAAAGCAATTTTTAAAAATCCTACTCAAAAAAAGGAAAGAGTAGCAGTTAAGAGCAGCAACAAT